ATATTATATAATATATATAATATATTATATTATCAATGATATATTATTTTTATATACACATATACATATTATATATATATATACTATATATATATATAATATATACTATATATAATATATATTATATATATATATATATATATATATAAATTATATATATATATGTAGTATTGTATTGTTATATAGTATATATATATATATAATTATATATACTATACTAATATTATATATATATATAATATATAATAATTATATTTAGTATATATTTATATATATATATATATAATTGTATATAGTATATATATATTATATATATAAATTATATAATAATATATATATATATATATATAATATTATATATATAATTATATATTAATATTATGGTATATATATATTATTATATGTATAATTGTAATATATGTATATACTGTATGTATGTATGTATGTATATATGTATATATATATATTTATATATTATATATATATTATATATGATCATATATATGATATAATATATAGCTATAATATTATATATAATTATTAATATATATATTATATATATAATGTGTGTCGTGCGTGCATGAAATTAGTATGTGACTAATGGTATGTTACGGATACAAAGAAAAATATTTAAGTAGATAATCATGCCTAAACCATTCTGACATCAAGTCAATGTTACTTTCCTGAAATAAGCAGATGTATGCCCAGCACAAACTGTTGGTTCTTCTGAATTTCCAACTACAATTTTGGGTATGTGTAGCTTATCTGAAATAATATAGAATAGGCATGATTCCAATCCTTTACAGGAATAAAATTATATAATTGCAGATGTATTCATGATGACTTCGCACAGAATGACTATTTGAGACACCATCAAAATCAGAACAAAACACATTTGAAACCGCAAAATACAACCCTTCCGTAACATTAGTGTTATTGTGATTGGATGGTATTGACTCCCTCCTATTATCGATAGAATATTCTGTGTAGCTGTACATCACAAAGCATATGTATATGTATGTGCAACCTTTCGCAATTGTTTACATCAACATTAGACATTTTAGCATTCTTCCTTCTATAGGTCCACAATACTGGAAAAAATTATATTCAAGAAAAAATTTTGTTTCCCAATTTCAATTTTTTTAAAGTAACATT